TGACCTTGGGGACAGAAGAGGAAGCTGTCATTTGAAGGAGAAAGCTCTAGATTGCATTAAGTGGAGGAATTGTTTTGGAAGAGACTGTGGACCTGTCGTCTTGACAGATTACTGATGATGATGATGATGATGATAATTAGGATATTATGTTTTTGCCTCGTATTGTTGTATGTGTTAGATAGTTAATGTGGGCGATCTTCGTTGTGTGGCTTGTGTGACTTTGTGTATGTGTTTGGTGACTATTTCCACATCCTGGGTCTGTTGCCTGTATGGATGTTTATGGAAAGTGGAAGATGTATATGTATGTATATGATGAGTCCTGTATCAATGTATTTTGATTTATGGGAAAATGAAATAAATAAAGAAAGAAGGAAAGATAGTTGGTCATAAGTATGTAAATTTATAAGGCATTTAATTCAGTTAATTTGGGTAATTTGAATGAAATTGTATCAATTTTAAGTTTTTATAGTAATGTTCTTTTTAAATTATGTTTATTAATTATAATTGTAATAAGTTTTTTTGTTCTATTATCTATGTTAATGGACTAATGTATGTGATTTTAATTATGTAACTTATGTAATTTATTATATGTATACATCTATTATCAAAGGGACTATTTCCACATCCTAGGTTTTTTGCCTGTATGGATATATGGAAAATAAAGGAAATGAATGAATGAATGAATGAGTTTTAGAAAAGTAAAGCTATAAAAGCTTTACAGAGTAGATAATGAAAAGTTCAGTCCAGTGTGACATACGAGTTTACAACACTTCGGTCCTCATTCACCTTACATGTTTCGATTCAAAAGAATCATCTTCAGAGGCGCACCACTATGATAAGGAAACACTGTCACATAAGATATTTTAACAATATGCACTTTAGATATGACTACTGCTCTCTATATAAATTTTGTTATCACGGTTGGTTTTGATGTTTGTCTTAGGCATTCACAATGGCGCTTCTTGAAGTGTAGATTTACTGGTTATTCTGACTGGGGTTTTCCACTGCAAGCAATATTATGTTCACTTTTCCATACAGTAGACTCCCAATATATTTAAAATTGT